TACATTATGCATTTGTGTGCTATAAAGGAAAAACACCAACACTGGAAAGTGTCAAAACCATGTTTTTCCTCTTTGTTGATTAATTTTTTAGGTAATTAAATTTATTAGAAATAATAAAACACTGCTACCATTGTGAAAACACTACAAATAGGTCTACACACAGGCATTAAGTAAAGTGTGCTTTACTCCTCAAATACACCTCCAATTTTTAGATCAAATTTTTATTTTGAGTAACAAAACACCGGTAAACAGCAAATGTGAAAATCTTACATATGTTTACCATTTCTAGAAATAAAACTACAGTAAGCAAGTTACTCTACTACAATACTGCCAGAGTGCCAAAGTAGTTGCTTCTGTCAATTCCATGTTTTATAAGAAAATCAGTTGTCATTTTACATTAGATTATGAATATGAAAAAATAATTTAGTTGTGAAGAACTATTTCACATTAATCACATTTTAAAAACATCACTATGAAGAATCATTTTCTTCCTTGCATTAACTTTACCAAGTTAGTATTAAATAAATAGGGGTAATAAATACTGCAATAAACAGCAGTTTAAATACCATGTTTACTGGCAAAAGCTCTTAAGTAAGCTCTCCTCCTACTTTACACTGTCTTGTCAATAAATATAACCAAATTGTAAGTCAGTAACTTCACAACATTCTGAAGGTGGGATTTTTTTTAAACAGCATTATGAATGAAAGTGGAGTATTGGCAGAAGATGTCCAAGTGGCACAGAATTCAGTGAGTCTACTCACATCTCAAGAGAAGCACTTATCAGGAAAGTTTCAGAGCAAGGGAAAGGACACAAAACTAAGGAGTCAGATGCAGATTTTATTCCATTCCCTGCTACTGCTAACCTGCTAAGTGACTGCAGGAAAGCCTACGCTCCTTCGCAGCTTTTTATCTCAGATGTCTAAAACTGGGAAAAAAATGATTGTTCCTGATCTTGAGGTGTGTGATTACAGTATGGCTTGTGTACTTCACCAAACAGGACAGAAGTACATAAATAAGGCAAGGCCTACAATTGCCAATTATTAATAATATCACTAATCTTGAGAAAATAACATGTGCATTTTTTCTTTTTCAAGCAATGCAAAACAGCAGCCCATCAAGCCATTTTTAAATTCAGAGTAATCCTTAGGCTGGTTCAGGTATTACCCTTTCCAAAACTACCCAAAATGGTAGGAGTCTTTTGTGAAATTCCCATGTCCACCAGGACCACACTCACCCCATTACTCTCAGACAGAAACACTGTATCATTAGTGATCTTCAAAAAAACCAAAACAATAAAAAGGAAGTAAGTCCTAATAATCTTTTGACATGAAACTGAAGAAAAAGGCTTCTGGCAATAATACTCCAGGAAAGGGATGGTACAAGGAAAAGAAATAACACTACAGAAGTTAGAAAGATGACTTTAACCTATTTCTTTTCAAGAATATTTTGAAATACATATGATAATAAGTTCAATCCAGCTTTATAGACCCCTAAAAAATAATGAAAACATAAATTTTGAAGTTTACAGTAAGCTACAACAGTATCTATACTGCTTTGAAAAACTTAAATCACTCATGAAAACTGTTCCAATATAGAGGTGCCATATGATTTAATGATAGAGGGAAGTACTGTCACTCTCCATTTAGAAGTGACCAAGGGACAGAAGGCTATGCTTCTAAAAGTAAAAACCTTGGAAGCCATCAGCAGGCCAAAGCTGTGCTGCTGATTCCACTGGTGGCCACAGCAGGCCATCATCATGACAGGGCACATGAAGTCCAACTTGGGTCCAAAATTTGGAAAGCAGCTTCTGGTTTTGACTACATCACTTGCCAGAGCTCACAGAGACACCCTGCAACACACTCAAAAAATAAAATGAGAGTTTTACTTCAGCTCCTATTTTAATTTATAGTACCTTCCTCCACCAAGGAACCGCCTTCGGATAAAGAGGGGGATCTGAGCACTACACAAGCCATGTACTGTTGAAAGAGAAGCAGCGTCCTACCTCCCAGGCATCCAAATTTCACTGCAGGTGTATTTACAAACTTCACATCACAGCAGTGCCTTGCACACCACAGGTCTCATCAACCTTACCTGCACCTTTTCCACCACTGCATGCGGTGGAAGAGCACCTCAGCCCAGCTCATTCAGTCAAGTTCTCCTCTCTTCACACCACTCTTTCCCCAACTCTGTGCCAGAGGACTGCCCTGCCTAATGCCATGTTCATGAGCTCCAGAGACACTGCGCATCCTCAGCCCCTAGACCATGAGTGGCAGCAACCTGGAAGAACTTTAAGCTCTGAATGTGGGCAATCATACCAGTGAATTTAACAAGACTTGTCATCTGCTTCAAGATATTCACATGCTTACAGGATTGCCAATTACAGAACCACTAATTTACGAACAAAGTGTATTAAGAGCATTCCGGATGAACAGGAAAAACATTAGTTATAAAATAATGGCATGATTACCTCTGATATTTTATGTGGAAAACTGACATTTAATGTCTTTAATTATTCACACAACAGCTATGAAAGAGAAAGGTTTTCTTCCTTGAAGGGAAAAATAAACATGGACAAATTCCTCTCACCATCACTCCTACACTCCTTTCCTAAATAAACCTCCTGCAGAAGCCAATGGAAGGTTTGCAGGCAATAAGCTTACAGCAAGCAGCCCCCAAAAAACTCCAAAGGGTCAAGGGCAAGCGTCTTAAATACTCTGAGTTTACCTCCACACAGAAACCAGTTACGTTTCCGCTAAATTACATGCCTGCTTGACATGGTTTAGCAGCTTGCTGTGTCAAGAGGGACAGTAGTGTGCAACAAACTTTTGAGAGCTTGGGCCAATTTTTGAAACATCCACAAGGCCCCCTGCAAAGCAGCTCATCACCTTCTATCTTGTGACACACCAGCCCTGCAACGGCACTCACCAAGCAAACCAGAACTCCTGTATGTCAGGACTGAATGACTAAAATCCAGCCATGAACAGTTACTTTAGTGAGAATGTGTAACAAAAGAAATCTTCCCTTTCACCAAAATAAAAACTCCCTAAAGTAAACAGAGATTTCTAGTCATGGACAAACCTAACAACACCTCTATTCTCACCTTAACTAGGCACATTATTTTCATTGCCTTTTTTTTTAAGCTACAAGGAAATGTATTTCTTCTCTTCCTCTAAAGCTCCTATTATGCTTTTTTGGTAAAAATGGTACCTTACCCTTTTCTTTGTTCAAGCCAGTTCAACATCAGGTGAGACATACATTTAGCACGATGCACAAAACCAAGGTCCCCCAAGTGTGGGAAGATTATGATCACCACTCCACTGCCAGATCGACATTCCATGCATCTGAAAGACTTCATAACAAAACTAAAACCAGATAATGACTCAAGACCTGAGTCAAGGTCTCTGAGCTATTCTTGTTCAGTATCCTTTACTATTACTTGAAATAAATAAAATGTCCATAGCACTTACAGCACTCTCATGTGGCTCTTAACTGAAAACACAGAAAATTAAGCTCAGAAATCAGACCATTTGTATTCAGCCCTGATCAACATTTTGAAGCCTATCTGCCAGTTTTGAATTTCCACAAGCATTTTTACTTAGAAAAAACTTGCAAAAATTACTCTTCACAGAACACAATCCTTGTCAGTAATACTATAAAACCAAAACCAATATTCTCCTATGCAACTAGTTTGTCACAAAAAAATTCAGTAATTGAATTTGGTGTTTATACTCTGAGACCTGCACATACTAACCACATCGCATACAAAATCCAAAAACCTGAAATTTGAGTGTAAATCTGCAGGAACTGGAGAACAGCAGAATTCTCCCTTCAAACCAACTGCCCACAGTGGTTACCCCAGCCTTAACACTAGCTTTGTGGTTATAATATCATACCAGAACAGCTGCTCCCAACAGCCCCCTTCAAGTCAGCATGTTTGGGACCGTCACTTATCCTATGTCTGCTATACACTGCCTGCAAAAGGTCAGGAGTATGTTGTTAATCATTTGCATTTATGAGTACTAAGCTTACCCCAAATACATGTCCTGTCTTGTTTTTAATTATGTGCAGAATAGTACCAAGAAGATATGCTACCTCCCACTTCCCATTTTGGGCCAAATGCAGGTCAGTGACAGCATGGGCAATTGTATGAGAAGTGCTCCAAATGCCACTCATTTTATGCCATTTTTAAATGCGACCCCAAAAGTTTAGAACCTCTTCTTTAAACTACCACTTCTACTTCAGCTTAAAAGGTGTCAAACCCCTCAAAAGTTATCATAACTTTTCCCAGCATGCAGATTAAAAAAAATTGCTGTGTACCTGAAAATGTAGGAATACTAGTAAATTAGTCACTAAGATACATATTTTAAATTGATTGGTATCTGCATTCATCAATGCCAAAAGTAAAAACAGTGACACAGAATGAGCATGGATGGAACTCTAATTAGCTCTCAGTTTACGTGTTAAAACTGAAGAAACTCCTGTTGCATCAGCATTACAGTTCTGCTAAACTTGTCATTGATTCTTGACCTTCAGAGTTTTCTAATTACCTATTCAGTTTACATTCTCAAACTTTTCTATCACTGAATTTTAAAAGGACTTTACATGCTCATTACATTTTCGACCTGTGTGTTACACTTTGCATATTCTAATGTTACTTTGGTCTAAAACTTTTGCCCTAAGTCAATCAGCTAGTTGTCTTTACAAAGTTTAAGGGAAAAAACCACCACTAAAAAAAAAATAAGCAAAGAGAGCTCCAAATATGCACAACCTTTTAATTTCCAGGTTACTTGGAGGAACCCCTACATACAAACTTTGTAGTTTGTAACTACTACTACTATAACTACTTTCTAGCAGTAGTTATTAGCACCTGGAGAAGACATGTTTTCTGAGGTGCTAAAACCAGAACAAGCATCTTCCTCATATAAAGTGGCAGCATGAGGACCTCTATCTTATCAACAACAACCAAGTTCTTTTTTCATGTGTACAGTTCACATACTTACCCAGAAAGGCAAATGGAAATTACAGACAGATGAAGATGAAGCTGTCTCAAAGTCTTTGTCATGTGATAGTGACCTATAAAGTATCAAATAAAGGCACATCATCAGAACACCATGATTTTACAATATTGCAACTCACCACATCGCCAACAAGAGGAGAGATCCCAAAACTTGAAACTTGCTTCCTCCTCACCCCCATCCCAGCTAAGCCGTCATTAAAACAAGATGACAGTCGCAGGAAACCGTAAGGAGCAAACAAAAGATGCACCGTGTCTTTAGAGGGCATTAGGAGTGGGCAAATGGAGCAAATCATCTGAGTGTGCATCAGCAGGGTGGGTTGTTCTTCCTCTGTCTCTCTCTCTCTCACACGGATGCATGTTTATGAGCGCGCACAGACCCACATACATACACACAGAGATGCATCACGTAATTATTTACACGCACACACAGTGATACTCGCATGTACTATCAAAATAAAAGGCAGAAAGTTGACCACCATCTGCAAGGAGGCATACATAACAATAACCCCCGGGAACTTACACAAGTGAGCGATCAATCCCCGCGCGTGGATAAGCCAAACAACGCAAAAATTAACAAGAAGAATAAGCCGCCAGACCGCAGGTACGAGAACGACCAGGGGAAAGAGACAGACAGACAGAGCGACGGACGAAGGCTGCAAGGCTGGAGCACAGTTTCAGGTAATGCCCGCTGCCCCCCGGCAGAGCCCAGCCGAGCCGCCCGGAGTGCTGCGGCCGCCCAGCCGCCCCTCCGCCACCGCAGCCCGCGGGGAGCGACCCCCGGCCGCCGCGGGGGGAGCGGCGCTCGCAGCCGCCGCCCGCCCTCCGCCCACCCTCGCCCGTGCAAAGTGTAGGGCCACCGGAATCCGGGCTCCGGGGTGGGGTGGAAAGAAAAGGTATTAAATATGGAGAAAGACCGCCGTGACCCAGGGTTTTCCCGTCTCCCCTCCTCGCCCCCCGCCCCCGGTCACCATCAAGTTTGCATCCTAGTTACAAAATGTCGATCTTGAAGGCTGACAAGACACAGGGAGAGGGGGAGAGAACGAGAGAGAGGGAGAGAGTGAGTGAGAGAGAGAGACGAGAGAGTCCATCTTGCTTTGAGGGGGGAGGAGAGGAGCAATAATGCAGCGCATAAATCTCACCCTCCCGGGGGAAAAGTCTGCACAACACCTTTGGGGGCGGGCGGGCGCGCAGGGAAGGGGCGGCGGCGCGGGGGGCTCCCCGGCCCTCCCAGCTGCCCTCCCCGGCGGGCTCCGGCGAGGCAGGCTGGCAGCAAACACCTCCCTGCTGCTCCCCTCCTCCTCCCCGCGGGCCCGGGCGATGATCCCGCTGCTGCCGCCGCCGCTGCCACCGGGGAGGAGGTGCCGCCGCCGGGAGAGCCCACATGGAGACCGGCACCCCGTCCCTGCCCCGGCGGCCGAGCCGGGCCCCTCCGCCGCCCCGCCGGGTTGCGGGACTTGGACGTGTCACCAGCAGGACGGGCAATGGTTTCGGCGCCCCAGGCCCGAGTGACCACCGCCGGCCTGGCGGCGCCCCGGCCTCCCCGCACACACTCACCTCCGCAGAAAACTTTTAACCGCGGGCCTTCCCCGGAAAAAGTGGCGAATCCGCCCCGCACACGGTTAAAGCCCCGCGGCCCCCCGGCTCGGCTGGCGGCGAGCGGGGGAGACCCGGGCACGGTCCTTCCCCGCCCCGGCGGGGAGGGAGGGAGGAGGCAGCAGGCAGGGAGGGAGGGGGCGGGCAGCCGCCTGCCGGTGCCTCTCGCCCCGCCGCCGTGCATGTCGCCTCGGCGGCTCTCGCATCGCTTCGTTTTACCTTCCTCATTCAGCGGCGGCAGCGGGCTGCCACCGATATTCCTAACGCAAACCTGCTGCCGTGCGGCGCCCGGGATTAACGCGACTGCCTCCTTCTCCCTTGCCTCCAACCCTTCCTTCCCCGTCCTCCTCCTCCTCCTCGCAAACCCACACTGGATCGGCTGTCCTCACATCCATGCAAGTTTCATACATTGCAAATAAACCCGAGAGGAGGAAGAGCGAAGCGCCTGGCGGGGAGCGGGGGAGGAGGAGGAGGAGGGCTGCTTTCTGTAATTTACCAGCGACCCGATCTCGCAGCAGCAAATAACAGCCGAGCACCCATCCGGCTCCCGGCGGCCGAGAGAGACCCCCCCGAGGCAGCCGCCCCCTCCCCAAGGCGCCCCTCGCCAAGTTTTCTGTCATCGCGACCACCCAATGTCACAACTTACCTTCAGAAATAGGACTTCGCGCGGCCGAGGCCTGCCGCCACCTCCCCCCGGCCCCCGCCCGCCTTCCTCCCTCCTTCCCTCCCTTCCTCCCTCTCCACCTTAAACTTATTGACACAACATAATCCCGCATCCACGCGAAACTCCGGCAGGGCCGCCCGCCAGCCCGCCCCCCCGCTGCCCACCGGGGCCGCCGCCGCCCCGGGTGCATCGCCGATGACTACCGGAAAACGCACAGCCCAACTCTCCGGCCGAGCCCGGCCGCCGCTGTTGTTGTCGGGGTCGGCGCCGGGGTTTTTCCTCCCGCTCCCCGTGCGGCCGCTGGATCGGCTGCTTCCCCCTCTCCGGTTTTATATCCCCCCCGCCCTTTCTCCCGGCGGCGCGGAGCCCCCCAGGCCGGCGGCAGCCGATACCGATCCGCGCACTCTCCCCCGCGCCTCGCCGCCCCTCGGGATGAAGTTTCGTTTCTGTCTGCCGCGATTTCCCTGTCAAGTCCCCCCGGAGGAACGCACCGAGCGGCGGCCGGTGGCCATCCCTCCTCCTCCTCGCCCTCCTTCCCCTTCCTCTCTCCGCCGCTGCTCTTGCCTCTCTCTGTGGCGGCGAGAGGTGCCTGGTTTCAAACGCAGCCTGGCACTGGCTGGCCTACCCCCGCCGCCTCTCGGGCTCAGCTCGCTGGTGTTTTAAATGCCCTGCGCTGTACCGCGATCCACTTGGCCCCCTCCCCGTCACATACCCCCGGTCACCCCTACCCTGCCGGCCGGGCGGAGGGCTGGCGGCACCAACCCACCCGTCCTCCGCTGCCCAAACTTTCAAAACGAAGGCAGGGCTGGCAAGAGGGAGGAAAAGTGACTGGGAGCCGCGGCAGCCGCCGCGCCGGGCAGGGGAAGCTCCGCGCCTCCCTCCCGTCCGCCAGCGCCGCAGGAGGGGTGCGGGGGGCTGCTCCGCCACTGGGGCGCGGAGCGTAAAGCGTGGGGCGAGGGCACCCCTTTCCCTATCTCTCCCTCCCTGCCGCTGCCCATCTCCGCCCGCCTGCCCGGTGCGGGTCTGCTAGCGGGGGCACTCACCTCGGCGGGGTGCGCACCGCGCCGCTGGGCCGGACGCGGCTCGCAGCGCAGCCCCTCCGCCTCGGCGCCCGCGGAACGCGGCTCCACACAGAGCCATGCAACCCGGGCAGCGCCACAACACTCCCCGCGATATAAGGCGCCCCGCCATTGGCCGGCGCGCTGAGCGACGGGCCCGCCGGCCACTCAGCGCTGCCGTTACACCCGCGGCCCGCGAGGGAGCCGCCGGCGCACACACTGCCCGCACACACACACAAAGATCGCCGCGCTGCCCCTCGCAGGGTTCGCGGAGCCCCCGGCGGTGGTGCCGGAGCGGGGTAGGGAGCGGGGGCCGCCCGGGGCAGCGCGGAGCCGTGGCGGCCACAGCGCCGGCAGCCACTGTCCATTGGCCGCTCGGGCAGCGCCGCGAGAGTAAACTACGTCTGCCCTGGGCAGTGCCGCGGGGTAGCGGGGTGCGGGCTCGGCCCGGCCCGGCGCACCCCGAGCAGCCTCCCGATAACTTACTCGGCCGAGTTGGGCGAGTTTCATTCAGAGGCCACGGCACGGCGAGCCAGAAGTTGCGGGAGGCAGCAGCGCATCCGCGCAGCCCCTGCTGGGGCAGTAAACACGGGCAGGCACCCCCGCGGCCCGCGGGCGGACGGGCCGGGCCGGCGCTGCCCCCTGACCCGGCGAGGGGGATTCAGGCAGCGGCGCCGCGCGGGGATACGGCGGAGCTCCGGGCGGTGCCCCCTGCCGTAGGAATCCTCGCCCAGGCGTGGCGGAGAGGCCCTCACCGGGCCAGCATCGACAGCACGGCCGGCTTCACATCGGCTTCCCATAGAGATCGCTCTGTTGGCAGAACTAGCCGAGTATAACGCTGGGGTCCGCGCCACGCTCCGTGTCCTGCCCGGTCCTCTGCCCTGCACTCGCGGACCGTACCTAACACATGGATGTGAAATTCATTTGAGAATTTCTGTGGCTGACGGGCTGATATGCACAAAGCGACAGTGCGAGGCCAGCAGCTTTTGTGTGGCTGCATGGCGATTGTGCTGATGGGTGTTGGAAGTGTAGTCCAACTTTCTGGGAGAAGCTCCCTACCACCACAGAAATGAAACACAGTGTGGAAGCATACAGCGTACACTGACCCTGTGTATTAAAGTTCGCGAGGGCTTGAATATATGCAACGTGAGACCCTCATGGTTTTTACACAGAAGACACATGGCATTTATTCTTAGAGTTAGGAAGAACTAATTTTTTTGTGTGGCTCTGTCTCTAGGCAGGATGCTGACTTCCAGTCAGCAATTGTGATATTAAAAAAATAGTTCTAATAAGAAAATAATAGTTAAGTTTATTTAATAATAAATTAAGAAATAATAGTTTATTTAATAATAAATTAAGAAATAATAGTCATAATAACAACGGAAATGTAGTCATTTTTTTTCCAATAGGAAAGCAATGTTTGTGTTTCATTTTGACTTTACACATCCAAGGATGTTGCAGAGTTTATTCCATATGTTCTTAGTCCTGTGCTTTTTTCCAATGTAATATGGTTAATTTCAGCATCTTTCCATGGCTTGTCTACTCTTCGGTTCTTCCCCAACCCCTTTTCTCAGTATGGCAGAATTATGTTAAATAACCATGAAATAATATTTCTTATGTCTGAATAATGCAGTGCAGTAAAGTATAAGCTCATATTAGAAAACTAAATTGTATCCATGTTTCTGAGAAAGCATTTTAAATTAGCCTGCACATTTTTTCTTAAGATGTGACAAAAGTATTGTAAATGCCCCACCCTCTTGTTTATTGTAAGCAGGGGTGTGTTTGTCAGTGCCTGAATAATATAAAAATAACAGCATAAACATATTCTTGTAATTAATGCATTCTACTTCAGTATTTCATTTTCATTGCTAAGAAGGCAGAGCTGACCATCTATCCACTGGAAGTCAGGTGCATGTCAGGTGTCAGAGGCTGGGACACTGGCAAGTGAAGGCACACACATTTCATTAGTCACATATAAAAAGGTTGGCCTAATTTTTAGGCAGAGCTTCCTCCTATCATTTCCAGATTGTGCAGTACTTTGCAGTAGTGGGTAAGCAGCATCTTTTCTGTATGCATAAACAGTTGCTGGCAAGAGTAAGAGGCCTAATGCTGATAGTTAAAACTTCCATGGTGTAGTTTCTTACATGTCAGTATTAGTGCTATTAGTGTCCTGGATTCTTTTAGCCATATTAATAACACCACACCATGGAGCCTCTCATACCTCTTCATTGCTAAAATCCTGTCAAAGCAGGTAATTACTGAGCAATATAAGTGATGTAGGCACTTGACAGTATACATGAACCTCATTTTAAAGGTTGTTTTATTTTGTTGTTAACAGATCTCTCTATTACACTTGATACCTTTGCTGGCTCTTTCAGAAAAGAGGCCAAGATAAGGACACCTTGCATGTAATGTAGTTTTTTACAGCTGTACAAAATGGATATACAATGCTCCTAAGTAGAACAATTGTGTTTTGTGTCTGCTTCATACAGTTACAAATGGCTTGTGAGTTAGTTGCATGGCAGGCCACCTATTAGGTCCGTAGAAGCACAAGGATTTTTTCACCCTCTAAGAGAGATGAGTAAGCTGAGGTATGGTAGTATGTTCAGAAAACAGAATGTTTGCATTTCCACTGCCTTTGATTTATTCTGTCCATAGTGAAAGAGAGAACTGTATTTTCTTGGGTTGTCAATACAGGACCTTTTGCCAACACTGAAGTCATGAAGAGAAGAGAGGGAGAGGATAGTAAATATTTCTGGGTTTCTATTTTTTTTGTATATGATTTCAAGCAAATTAATCTCTTTTTATGCCCACTTGGAGATACTTCTGGCTTTCATCAGCCACTGTTATCAAGAGTTTTGAGGCGTTAGCAAGTGTCTCTGAGGAATTTTTCAAGGGACAGCAAGACAGCAAGTGCTGAAATTTTTTTAGTTGCTTGCTGATTAGTATTTTAGAACTCCACACAAGTTGCATTTCTAGATTTTTCTGCAAAAACTTGTGTCATCAGATGGGACTTTTCTGTCACTTGTGTGTAATTCGTATTAGTTTTTGAGAGTGATGCCCTGACCCTACCTTGTGGCAGGCTCACATGGGCTGCTGTGCACAGCCAGCCTGCACTAAAGTCAGTGCAGTTCAGCTCAGATAAAGCATTTGCTCTGTTGCATGCACAGTGGGATTTGGGACAAGTTGCACGTCCATGGAATTTGTGTGAGTTCATCTGGGTTTGCCTGCTTTGCGCTCAACTGGCAGCAGAGTATCTCCCTCACAACTGCATGTCCCCTCCTAATTAACCCATGGCACACCATGAAAGACGTGTCTGTGGTCTATCAAGAGAGAAAAAATATTTCCATTCACTTTGTTCTTATTTAGGGATAACAGGAAAAAATAGTAGTATTAAAATAAATAATAGCAATTTATACCATATATGTATATTTTTAACTCCCCTCCTTTGTGACCTGCCATGGAGCTCAGTAGTGTTGGGGAGGGAACCGAGTTGGATCCTTAATTACCATCTTCTCTTCTTCTCCTGCCCAGGGCAGAATCTACCTGCTGCCTGTGGAACTGACCTGTCCACTGGTAGCTCTTCTGGACTGAGGTAGATGTGTGTTCCATGGCCAGTGTAAATTTATTCCCATAATAAAAAGGAAGCTTGGACTAGCCAGCTGCAGCCTGAGCCTGCAGGCCCTGGATCCCTTTGAGCTGCTACCATGGCTGACTACAAGTGACGGTTGTCATGTGAGCGGGGAAGGAAGGCCATAAGGCAACTCTGGGAGCATATGCTTTATCTGCGTTAAGCTTTGCACACAGCCTGGGGAGAAGCATGGGGAAGAAAGGGTGAGGCAGATGCAGCCTTATGGAGCATGTCCCACCTCTGTTGTTTTTTTTCTTGTGGCCTATGCCCACCCACAGTCCATGGAATAGCATGGCATCCTCCAGGTTAAAAAACACTGGAGAAGGACAATGCATTAGTGGGCCTATTTTCCTTCCCAATGCACTTGTATAACATGGTAACATTAATAGCAATTTATGTGCAAGCAGTGAAGGGAGGAAGCATTTTAGCTGAACTAAAGCTGCAGAATATTCACTGCAGAGTAGGAACAGAGCCACAGGATCAGTGCAGGACAGCCATTCTTCAAGAAGCACACTTCTAGGAAGTCTATTGTTCCAACCTCAGCTCCACTTTCAGTTTCTTGAGAACTCAGCAGAAGTTTGTTGCAGTCAAAGAAAGGGCCAACTTGTTCTGTTGGTTTCTCTGTACGAGGACAGTTATACTCTGACTATATTTCTTTGTTCCTATTCCTTACCTCTGTTCTTTCACAACATTAAAATAATCAGGGTACTTTCTTCATAATTTTGAGATTCTGCTTCTGAGTGTTGTTTTTCTATACTAGTGCATCTAGTTATCTAATTCCTACTGTCTCCTATCAAGTGGTTTGTTTGGGTTTTTTTTTAATGCCTCTTTTTACTGGAGGAGCATTAGTAACTGCAACCCTTTAACAGAACCAGACATTAAGAGCATTAGATCCTACAAGCAACCTCTGGCCTAAGCTGCTACCACTTTCATTTGACAAATTAGACACAAGAGTAGGAAGGGGAACAGACAGGTGAATGACCTACCAGGAGTCGCACACTTTGGAAGCAGCAAAGTCAAAAATCAAATCTGAGCTTCTAAATTCCAGTGCATTGTTGCATCCATTTCTTTCTCTGCTGCTCTGAGATTTCTTTCATAGTGCCTCCCTTTATTAGAAAAATATAACGACAACTTGAGGAACAATTTACCATTTTTTCCTGTTTCAGAAGGAATGAATAATAGGCTAGCCAGAACATCCACATCCATTTGAGTCTATCATCTTTGTAAAAACCTCCATCTGACCCTGGAAGACATATTGGTATATGTTAAAATAATATATATTAGCTAACCATTTTAGTGTACATGAAGTATACAATGTCGAGAATAGTGAAGCAATTGTCTGCTAATTGCTAAACTCAGTAGATTTTTCTTGTCTTTATACAAGTATACTGCAGTACAAAAATATGTAAATCAGGTCAGACCTGCC